GCGAAAAATGAGGAAGGATACGATTACATCAGCCTCATCGATAAAGAAATGTAGACGAACGCATATGATAGTGGATATCGATATGGACACATGACGACCTACTTGGCTGAGGCAATCAATTCAACCTTAAAGGGTGCACGCCACTTACCTTTAGCGGCTTTGGTAAAAACTATATATTTTCGTTTGGGGGCGCTTTTTGAGAATCTCGGGGGACAAGCTCAAACCTGGATGCAAGGTTGTTATGTCTATCACCCTAGATTAGTTGCAGGTCTACAAAAAAATTGTTACATCAAATGGAATGTTTGTAACAAGCTTCCCTAGAAGACATGAAATGTTTCATGTCACAGAGTTGACGTAACCTCTTCAAGGGATTGAAGTTGTGTCGTTAAGAGTAAATCTACGGGACAGAACGTGCGACTGTAGGTTTTTTCAAGCTCTGAAGTATCCATGCTCTCATGTGATAGCAGCTTGCTCGCATACACGTCAAGACTATAACTGTTTTGTGGATCCCGTATACCTACTATCTAAAGTTTTTAAGGTATACGAATTTGAGTTCCCCCTATAGGTAATGACAAAGACCATGATGAGGTTCAGGATTGGCTTCCGATTGTACCAAATCCAACTTTATTGAGGGAGCATAGTCGTCCAAAATCCAATCAAATTCATTGTGATATGGATATTCGAGAAAGATCTAGACAAGACAAAAGATGTGGGCATTGTAGAAACCCAGGACACACTAGAAAAACATGTCCACTTCTGTTGTCATCAAGTAACAATTGATGAGAAAATGATGTAGTTGTTTATCAAATAAGAATTCTTGTACTTTAATTTGCATTTACTTCAAGTTAATGTCATTCGATCTTACAATAAGTGACAAACTGAAGAAAATTATCGAACACAATTATTAAATTTTATCAAAACAATAACGATTTGGTGTTTGAATATAATTTTAAATACAACAAACTTACAATAAGTATTAAATGGTAAATGATAAACAAATTACAATAACTGATATTAAATGATAATAAACAAAATTAACCAAAATACATTAACAAAAAGTTCAACAAATTTAACAAAATAAATTAAAATAAATCCAACCAAATTAATGAAATAAAGTAAGTATTAAATGATACATAACAAAACAATTACAATAAAAAATCCAATAAACAACTAAATACAAATATAATAAAAAATAAAATATATCGATACCTGCGACGTGAATGTGTTCCGCAAGGCGGTGGTTGTCGGTCTCGAGGAGGATTTATCAGTGGTTGTGACTCATCGTTGTCATCATCATCACCATCATCTTCGTCGTCATGAGCAGCTACATTAGGTTGATGAGGAGCTGATGACGATGAAGCTCCTTCATAGAATAAGGACCCTGGAGGTATATGACTGACTATCCCACCTGCATGCGAAAACTGGGAAAACTCATAAAACCCAGACATCGCTGAGTGTGAAAACTGTACAGGAGGTGTCTGTGCTGCGACCATGGGTGATGAGGTTGAACCCGCCAAAATGTGTGTATATGAACCCCAAGTCGGATATACAAACATAGACCCATAATATCCTCCAGGAGGGGTCATAAAACTCGATGATCGCATAACAGATTAAAGGGACCATCGCCATCCAAACATCTAATGGGTCCCTCAACTCAGGTGAGATCACCATCCTCACATCATCATTAGAATATGACACCCATTCAAACTAAAACAAATATATATAATTTTTATCAAAATAATAATCTAATTATACAACTATACTCTAAAATCGATTTTTAAACATTCAAATGCATACCTGTGTGTCAGCCTTATGATTGATTAGCATCCTAATTTTTTTCTAAATCAGTTATACACTGTATAAAATGATTAATATACGAAATCAGTTATATAATTACCTCAATAGTAGCAGAAATACGAATGAGTTCTTGACAACGGGACATAAAAAGGGAAATCGATACCATGCCCAAGAATGCAGTAGCAAGAGATATCCGCCGATAGCATTTTTCTTGTAGTCAGTGGCTCGACACATCTCCCTGTACAGGAAAACCAAAACTGCCGAGCCCCAACTGAGTGATCCGACCAGACGAAAGTCACCAAGATGTCACAACCACATACAGTGAACTTGGTTGCGCGATTTGTCCGGCATCAACAACCCTCCTATCAGTTGCAGTATGCATGCCCGTGCATACATTTTAACTTCATCATCAGAGGCGTCCTAGCTCAACTTCCGAAAATTGACATCTAACCAATTTAACGGTATCCGAACACCGTTAAAACTTTCTGGGACACGTCCTAAATAGTCCCGGCACAAAGCATTCCATGAACCGTGCGCCATCCCCGATATCACATCTCCATCCACCGGAATCCTCAGGTGCATAGAAACATCCTCAAGTATAATCGTGCACTCTCCGCACGGAAGATGGAATATGTAGGTCTCCGGCCTCCACCGCTCCACTAAGGCAGAAATAAGGTCTGACTCTATCTTACAGTGACCCTCATATCTACCTATGTGACCGAATCCAACCTCTACTAAATACGGCAAGACACATTTAGGTATCACTAACTTAATGTTCCTAATAAAAGGATCTAATACACGATCTCTCTCCTAAAATTAAATAATTACAAAAATTAATTTTTAAACTAATAATCATGCATTAAATAAATAAATAAATAAATTATTACTAATAATTTAAATTATATTAAAACGTTAAAATGTTATTGTATCAATAAAATGTCGCGATATATGATTTTCATCCAAGCGAAGTAGACCTCCTTCCATTTTATATATGCAAAAAAATTAATTAAATAGATTATTAAAATTTCAAATACTTAAATAAATTAAAAACAAAATATTAAACATAATAAAATATACCTTAAACAGTTAAAATAGAATATAAGAGTATTTGAGAGAAGTTGAGATGATTTGGTGTGATGAAAGTGATTGAGAATGGGGGTATTTATAGGGAGGGGGTGGGGTGTGAACGGCCGGGGTAGGTGGGTAATTAAACCTAAGGTCTTTTCTGACGCGTGTCATCTTTAAAGGTAAAGCGCGACCCCTGCCCTGCGCTATATCCCACGTGTCGCCAGATCAGCATAAAGCGTGTTGCAGGGGGTGCGCCTTACCCTACGTGACGCCATATTAGCGTAAAGTGCGCTGCAGGGGGAGCGCCTTCCTGCAAAGGGTGCTAGATCAAGAAAAATAGTCTGAAGGGTGCATGACAGGGAAAATTATAGGGTATATGAGATATTTCGGGAAAAACACCTTTCCCAAGATCAATACAAGATACGGTTTTATTTTTCTTTGTAATTGAATACATTTAGAGATTAAATTATAAAAAAAATAATTTGTTTAACTTTAAAATAAATAAAGTTTAAAAAGAAATTAAATTATAAAAACTAACACATCAAGGGTTTAATTTCATAAAATTTAAAATTCAAAAGTCTTAAAAAATAATTAAACCAGATAAACTTAAGTTTAAAGTTTAATTTTATTAATTTTAAAATTGAAAGTATCCTAAAAATAATTATATTAAAAAAAGTTGTGAAAAGAACAAAGAATTTTTCGAGTTCAAGTTTTTTCAAACTAGAGTCGAACTTCAATTTTTTATTTTGAGTTTGAGTTGAGCTTAATAGTTTTAAGCTCGTGAGCTTTTGAGTCGAGTGGAGCATCAATTTTTGATTTCGAGTTCGAGTCGAGCTTGACAATTTTAAACTCACAAGCTTACAAGTTGAGTCGAGTTCAACTTTGATTTTTTTGAGTTGAGTTCAACAATATTCGAGCTCAACTCGACTCGTTTACAATCCTATTGATAATATACACACGTCCTAAAGATACAACAACTCAAACTTGAGACACTCTCTTTTACCAATAAAATCACTCAATGAATTCAATAAAATACATTAAAATACTAATCGGAGCCTTGGCCCATCCATTTTTTTAAAGTATTAATTAATATTAAAAATATATATATATATTTTTCAAAAAATAAATTAAAAAATTTATCCGATCCCTTTAATTAAAAAATTATATTTATAAAAAATAAAAAATATTTGTAACCTCCACCTTAATAAATTTATAGGTCTACTCCTAATACTAATAATCGTAACAAACACAGCCCAACAAAATATATTTACCTACTCCAATTTAAATTACGAAAAAGAACAATATCTCATGAGCCCACAAAGAACCTACTTGATTTAAATATATAATAATATAAAATAGATTTATATATCAAATATAACTTTCTACTTGTATTAAAAAATCAATGAGTTTTTAGTTTTAATCATGGATTAAATGTGTATTTATTTAAAAGATTATGATAAAATAAATCTTTAAATATTGAAAACACTAATATAAATTTGGTCGCGATTTATTAAATATGGAGACATTTGATTTATTTTTTAATTATTAGTTCATTTCATCGTAATTTTTTATATAAAGATTCATTTGATCTATTATTCAAACTATGGAGTTATTTGATTTTTGGGTACCGTCAAAAGGGTCAATTTGGTGTATAAGCCTATAAAATAAACAGTAAAATAAATAAGAGATCTCTAAATTATGATCAAATGATTTTTTTAGTCACTAAATTATCAAGAAAATATAAAATTTGTTTTAAATTTATGGAACTATTATAAAATGTTCATTATATTATAAAATATCATTAAACTTATTAAACTATTATAAAATAATCATTAAACTTATGGAACTATTACAAAATGATTGTTAACTTTATCAACTTTTATGACCATACAAATGTCACAATAATCATTTATAACAACTTGATAAATTCAATGTTTATTTATAAATTTTTAAAATTTCAATGATGAAAAAGATCAATTTAAATATAGCTGAAATACCTCTCATGTAATTTACCCTAAAACAAAAACAATAGCACATGGTTGCCCATGCTTAACATGTGCGAGACGATTTTATCAATAAAAAACAGTGTCACAGATCAGCACCAATGTTCTTTCTCCCCTTTAAATTGGAGTCGCCGGTGCTGTCATTCCTCGGATATCAGAGGACCTTCTTCTTCGACGAGCTAAATCTTTATGCCATGGGTGGACAAGTTAAACCATGTTTGGTGCTGGTCTTCACCTTTTTTTTGCTTGTTCTTGCTTCAGCTGTATCCACAAATAGAATCAAGTTTTTGAAACAAATCAGAGAGGTGAACCGTAGAGGGCCGTACATCGGTCTCATCACGGTGTTTGCCACCGAGGAAGATGCATTTTTCGCTTCGGGATCATTTAAACCCGACCCCAAGTATCCTTTCATCGATTTATCGGGTATATTTCGATTTTTAGACGTTGTTAATGGAAAAAAAATACACCTCAATATAATTTCTTTTATTTCAATTCGATTCGAATGGATTTTTTTGGGGAGATATTGCAGGAAGAAGATTTCGCATTGGACAAGTTCGTGGAAGAGAAGTCGTTTATGTCAGATGTGGGATTGGAACGGTAGGAATTAAGATTAATCATAAATGTTGACCCTTTAAGGTTAAACAATAGTCTTGGTCCCCCTATTATGTTTAAATTTTATCTTTATACTTTAATTTGACATTATTTTTTTTCTTTCTTTATAATATCATTTGTTAGTCGAAAGAGTTAGCGTTGTTAATTATTTAAGTTAAATTCATTTATCGTAATAAGTTGTTGGGAGCGTTTTTTTCTTTATTTTTTTCTATATTTTTAATATCTCCTTATCTTGCCGAATAAAAAAAATAAAAGAAAATATTCATGTCAGGTGGGTCAAAGTTAGTTTTATTCTAAAATTTAAGATAGATTCGAGGTTGATAGAATATCACCAAATGTCGGGATGATTAAAATTAGGTAAAAGCTTCAATTTTTTATTTAGAGTCGGATAACAAGAAAGTCAACCTATTTTTCTTTCTTTATAATATCATTTGTTAGTCGAAAGAGTTAGCGTCGTTAATTATTTAAGTTAAATTCATTTATCGTAATAAGTTGTTGGGGGTGTTTTTTTTCTTTCTTTTTCTCTATATTTTTAATATCTCCTTATCTTGCCGAATAAAAAAAATAAAAGAAAATATTCATGTCAGGTGGGTCAAAGTTAGTTTTATTCTAAAATTAAGATAGATTCGAGGTTGATAGAATATCACCAAATGTCGGGATGATTAAAATTAGGTAAAAGCTTCAATTTTTTATTTAGAGTCGGATAACAAGAAAGTCAACCTATGCCATCTCGTATCCGTCCTTAATCATAAATTTATGTAATATTTGATATGAATTAATCGATTAATAGTTAGATATAATTTCTAACATTAATCTTGTTTTAACTGTGGACGTTCAAATCAGATCAATGCGGTTGCGGCAACACAACAAATGCTTGACGTATTTCATATGAAAGGGATCATCCATTTCGGTATTGCTGGCAACACAAACAACTCAATGTCCATTGGAGATGTTACCATCCCAAAGCAAGTTGCTCATACTGGCATTTGGGATTGGGTGGTGAGTTTGATCCACATCTCTTTTCCAAACTTTAACACGATTTCCGGCTAACTAGGGACCGTTTTCGTTTGTGAATAGAACCCGAATTCAACCGTCGATCCTGCCGATGTTGCTCAACTGGACATCGGAAACTACAATGTCGCAAAAAGAAATGGAACTAACCTCTTGGGTCATATTGGATACAACAAAGAGCAATTTTATTCAGTATCAGGGGAACCAAATGTTGCTGAACGACTGGTTTGGGCTGAAATAACTCCGCATTGGCTTCGGCTTGCTTCCAGCTTGGAGGTTAGTTATATTCGTAGTTCATTATCGTGCCGTCGGTCGGATATTGGTATCGGCAAATCGTTCCGCTATTTCCGAGTTGACGTCGGGTTTCTTGCACAACAGGGCATTAAACTAGAGCAGTGTGTGAATTCAAGCCTGTGCCTACCGGAAAAACCCAAGCTAGTTGTTGGTTTGAGGGCCTCAACAGCCAACATTTTTGTGGACAATGCAGCATATAGAGACTTCCTTCTTCAAGAATTTGGGGTTTCATCAGCTGATATGGAGAGTGCAGCTGTAGTAATGGTAATGAATTACGCACCGTACATCTTCAAATTATGATAGTCGAAATTTTAAATTAGTCCTTAAACTTTAAAAATTTCGATTGAATCATTAAGACTAAAGTATCTTTCTAACCAGGTCCTCTTGTCAATACAACAGTCAAGTTTGCCATTAAAAAAAGAGTTGTTGCATCATATGTCCCTAAACTATGACACTCATTCTAAATTGGTACTTCAACTTTTAAATATTCTAATTTCATCCTCAAACTATGATTATGGTTCTAAATTAATCTTTGAACTTTTGAATCTTCCAATTTCATCCCAAATTATTACCCTTATTCTAAATTGGTCCCTAAACTTTGGAAATTTCATCCATGAGTTCAATCATATTTTAACCTAAGTTTTATTTTTCTTCAAACATATAATAATATAGTCTGACATGATGGTTTTACTAATAGGGGATGTGATTAGCATATACTGATCATTTGAGATGAAATTAAAATATTTAAAAGTGTGATGACTAATTTAAAATGAGAGTCATAGTTTAGGGATGAAATTAAAATATTTAAAAGTTTGAGGACTAATTTAGAATGAGAGTCATAGTTTCGGGATGAAATTGAACCGTTCAAAAATACTTTAGTTTGAGGATTCAATTGTAATATGCCCGTAGTTTAAGGACGTTTGATGCAATTAACCCTTTACGTATAAACGAATTTTTGAAAATTTAAAAAATTAAAAGAAGTAATTATATGATAATGGTGGGATATGGATGCAGACAAGCTTGTCAAATGGATTCCCAGTGATTGTGATAAGAGGGCTATCAGATTTAGCTGGAAACCAGCAAGGAGACAATGCTTGGATCAAATTTGGGAGCCTTGCTGCTTTAAACAGTGTCAAAGTTGTTTTGGGATTCATTTCTAATCTACCACATACTACTACCGCTACAAGTTAATTACAATCTTTCAATGTTGTTGCCTTTTTCTTTATTAAAATTCCAAATAAGCATCTAAATAAGAAAAGTTTATTTAATTTTGATGTTTCTTTCTATAACCGGAAAATTTTAGTATCATTTATCTTACGATGTCTCGAATACAACTCTTACCACATTTCTTAAGTTAATTTAACGAAAGATATGCACGTGAGTCTTATTTTTAATCACTCGATGAATATATGTTAAAGGCTATATTGAATAGAAATGCAATTGGATAATCAAATCGATGCTTACAAAATAGTTTCTGATTGAACAGAAAATGTAACATGATGCATAGTATATTTTTTTTCTTTCACTCATAATAATCCGTATAAGGCGCGGATACCGTGAACGTCATCCCTGTTCAGCCTCCTCTTCGTAACGCCGGAGTCGAAGTACGCATACATGACTGCATCAGGGATCATGCTGTGCTGAAGCCCGAGAAGGTGGCCGATTTCGTGCACAGTGACCGATTCCAAGTCGATCTCATCAGGACCAGGGTTAGTGCTCCAGTTTTCATCAGCATCATAGTGCAACTTTCCCCCTGTTGGTGGACTAGCATGAGCCAGAGTCCCCTGCGGACCATCGAAGGGGTTCCCGTCTCCATGGTCGCCACTATGGAATCCGATTTCAATATCGGCAATGTAGTCATCCGATACTTCTTCAAACGTAAAGCGGCTCACATCTGCCCATCGTTCGAAAGATCTGAAACAAATGGACCTTATGTCTTCATCGAGAGGGACTTCAACACTCGAACGAAAGTTGTAGGTTAGATGAGTCTTCGAGATCGGCCATTTCAGATTCCCAAGAAAGAATTCGTAACGAGCGGCTTCGAATCGGTACACAGACTTGGAATTTTTATCACCATTTAGTCGTAAATCCGCAATGCCGCATCTCGGCTTCATCATTTGTTTCAAAGTATCGTCATCTAGGCTGCCTGTGACATTCAACTGATAATTAACCTGGTATGCTTTGATACCAGACTCCAAATCCTCATCGAACTTGTCATCCTTAGCACCGTCGTGATTCAAGTATCCGAGTTTATCGACAAACTGTTTGAGCTCGGAAACCCCTTCGGCGGTATGATCTTTGCGGCACCCCACTAGATGTCGGAAAGTTTGAGCGGTCATCGTCGGCTTCAATTCGACAGTGCTTAGCACCATCTGGAGCAGAACAAACAAAACAAGAACCGGAGAAGATGTTGGAGAAGCCATTTCCAAGGAAGCTTTCCACTTGAGAAACACTGCTGATATGATATTATATACATGTAATTGAATGTTGGGTTTCAACTAAGAAGTCAGCCATTAAAGTTAGATGAAATACAGATTCTTGTCACATAACACTCACAAGTCCACATACTTTTGATATATTCCTCCAGATTTTCCGGGAAATTTTTTTCTTAGCCATTGTGTTGGTTAACACTCACGGGGACTTTAAGTGCCTCAATTTTTGTTGTAATTCATGCATTTTGTGTGTTTGGGGTCAGAGAAAGAGAGTTATGATTAATCATACCCGTCTTTCACATGACTCCAACGTTTACGAAGCAAGAGAAAAGGGAGCTATAACATGAAAAAAAATTAAAATATAAATTATTATTGTATTTTTATAATTAACTTTAAATAATTATATTTTTAATTTATTTAAATTAAATTCGAATTGGGTTAGCAGACTAAAACTGTTTGTCCATTTTAAAACTAAACCAAGTCGACTGAACTAGATGAATCATCGAATCATAAGTAGGTTATATATAAAAAAGGGAATCTGTTGACACGGTATTAATTATGTAGTTATCATATTATTTGGAAGCATATACAACAACATTAGGCAGAATGAAGCAGCTTTGAAGAATAAGAAACTGAGCATAAGATGTAGATAGCATTGGATTGGTAAGGACGGATGTTGTGGTAGTCTTATCTGAAAATTTCAAATTTTTCTATGTTTTAAATTCTTTTTATTGGTAATCTATTTTCTCCTTCTCTAAAATTTTATAAGTTAGTTTCCTTTTAAATTTTTATAAGTTAACCCCTTTAACATAAACTCATGTGTTTGTCCCTCAATTAGAGACATAAACTCATGTGTTTGTCCCTCAATTAGAGACATAAGTCTTACAATATTATTCAAATTATATGTATGTTAAAAAAACAGAAAAAGGATGAAGTTTGTCATTATCAATACTAAACCTCGTATTCATAAGATCATTAAGGAACCTATACATACATGACCATAATCATAAAAATTAGGAACAGAAATAAAGAGAGAAAATTTAACAATTAACATAATGATTATCATTTGAATAGATAAACATTACCATAGTAACTGATCTGAGCTCAGCTAGAATGCCCTACAACACAACATTTATTTATTTTCTTAAGAACTGCAACATGCAGTTGATCAGCACAAGTGCATAGCACCTCTAGCTTACAAGCTGCAGAACTTATATTCTTCACCATATCCTTCTCCTTCATACTGTGTTTCTTTTCTTAGTCTTTTTTACCTTCTTCTTTGAGTACCTCTCCAAACTTAGCATATTTCATCAGTTTTAGCTCCATAACAAGCTTCCCTTTAAATCACCACATAACACTTAACAAACAATACATTAACATTTAGAAGAAGAAGAAACAAAAATGGCAATATCATATTGTAATTGTTATTTAAATTCTTTGTCAATGATGTAGTTATTGGAATAATTAGCAATAAACGAATACGAAAGAACACCAAGATTACATGGAAAACCTAAAATTCTATTTCCTACTTTTTATTTATAGGGATAGAAAACAAAAGAAACTTAAATCAGAAGAACTATACTTGAACTGAATTTTCTTTCTTTGTCAACATAAAGGCAGCTGAAGAATTAGAGTTTCAAACGGATTATACTACTCTGGCAGAAGAAAATTTCACCCGTTTTATAGGCCTCACACTTTTATCATTGTTTTGATTTTAACTTCATAACCTGGTCCAAGAAGAAATTGGGTCACAACTATAACAATCAACCCACATAGGAAACTCACTCGTGTTAGTTGATCTACCCCTGAAGATTTGTTTGCCAATTTTCCTAAAATTGAATAGCCAAGGGTTAACTTTATGTTGTCATTATCATTGTTTCGATCCCTCTGGCAGTTTCTCTCACATGTGCATAGTTACTACAGACTAGCTTACTGGTTCATTTTTGTGCTCCTATAAAACTTCATTTTCTGAGACTCAACATAATAACATATGTTGTGTTTATACAAAGTACTCGAATTAAAAAAAAGTATTTGATTATGTGAACAACTCATTACAGCAAAAGTTAATTAGAGACGGTGAATTTGTACACCTTACTTGTAGTGCATTCAAGACCATTGAATAACTTTGGGGTTCGAAAGAAAATTTAAACAGAGTTGTCTTAGATATTTTTAGGGCCGAAAAATCAAAAATAGACTTTTATAAAGTTAAGGCATATTTCATTACTTTAAACAATTAATTTAATATTACATAAATAAACCATAGAAAAATGATTAAATTTTGGTAAAACACATTATTTTTATTATTTTATTTAGAAAATACCATAAATACAACTAAGTGAGAATAAATATAAAAAAATTGAATGCGAGTATGATACATAATTTTGAATAATAAAAAAAAAATTGGGGCCTTAAATGGTTACTCAAACTGCTCCCCTAAGAGTCGGCCCTAACTTTAAAGTGTGGTGAATACTGTGATAAAGACGATCGGAAAAACATTAGACAACGATCACATAAAAAAAACTGATGTTTGTTAATTTGGAAAAAAAAATCTTTTTAAGGTTTTCCAGAGAAGAAGATGTCTTTAACGTGCCATTTAAACATTTTTAACGATAACTGATAATAGTGGAGAAAATAACCTCAGTGACCAAAAATCTCAGATAATATACGATTTTGATCAACTTTTTTTGGATTTACGAAAATGACCAACAAAATCGCAATGCGATCTCTAATTCGCATTGCGATCTCCACTATCGCAAATTCGCGTTGCATTTCGCGTTGCGATAGTTGAAAATCGCGTTGTGATTTTCCATTTCGCGTTGCGATAGTCTACAGTCGCGTTGCGATTTTCCATTTCGCGTTGCGATAGTTGAAAATCGCGTTGCGATAGTCTACAGTCGCGTTGCGATTTTCCATTTCGCGTTGCGATAGTTGAAAATCGCGTTGCGATTTTCCATTTCGCGTTGCGATAGTATACAGTTGCGATCGCGATTTTCCGTTTCGCGTTATAGTCTACAGTTGTCGTTGCGATTTTCCAAATTGCGATAGTTAAAAAAAGATTTTGTTTCTTAAGAATTTTCTCTAAAAAGATAGTATCCGCGCGGACGTGTCGAAGACACGTATTACCACGACCACGACCACGACGGCGGCGCGCGAGAGTCTCCCTTGTTCTCTATCACTCAACAATGAAGTGGGAAAGCCAAGCCTTAAATACCATTCCCAATAGTGTTTCCAATACTATGTGGGATTTGAGCATTACCAACACTTGTTCCCAATACTATGTGGGATTGAGCCTTAAATAGTGATATTATTTTTTTTAACTATCGCAACGAATTTGGAAAATCGCAACGCGACTGTAGACTATCGCAACGCGAAATGGAAAATCGCAACGCGATTTTCAACTATCGCAACGCGAAATGGAAAATCGCAACGCGAAATGGAAAATCGCAACGCGATTTTCAACTATCGCAACGCGAAATGCAACACGAATTTGCGATGATGGAGATCGCGTTGCGATTTCAACTATCGCAACGCGAAATGGAAAATCGCAACGCGATCTCCAACTATCGCAACGCGAAATGGAAAAACGCAACGCGATTTTCAACTATCGCAATGCGAAATGCAACGTGAATTTGCGATAGTGGAGATCGCAATGCAAATTAGAGATCGCATTGCGATTTTGTTGGTCATTTTCGCAAATCCAAAAAAAATTGGTCAAAATCGTATATTATCTAAGATTTTTGGTCACTGAGGTTATTTTCTCGAATAATAGTGGCGGTTGTGGAAGTGTAAAAATTCAGTGGTTTAAGTGACCAAAATGTAATTGTTGTTATATATTTATGTAATTTACCCTAAACAAAATTGTATAGTCATAACATGTGCCTTTGTGTAGCTATTTGCGAACTAATGAGCAACCGAACCAACTTTTATTTTGCTTTCTTTTGATCAATCAATCGAAGCATAAACTCAATAAACCCAGTTCATTCTCTCTTCTTCCTTTATGAAACTGCAACTTTAATAGAATCCAAGCTATTAATTATCTCAGTTTTTTTTACGAACACCAATTTCAATGGCAGTTTCACGTCTTAGGAACCTAGTTTTCTCAAGAGCCGTCCCATCTCTCTTCAGAGCTCGTTTTCTATCTTCCTACGCTTCACCCAGACCACTTTCTCGGTACTGTTCTATTTCTTTCCATTTCTTTATGTGTTTTATGAACGGTTTTGGATTCCCACCATGATGATCATCTTATGCATCTGATTGGAATTTGTTTTTGGAAAAAAAAGTAATAACTTTTAATTAAAGATAGTGGTATTCAGAGTTGGGTTTGTGAGAACTTTTGTTTTGAAATTAGATGAAGATTTTTTTTTTTGCAATGGTGGTTGAAATAATGTAATTTGAACTTTACAATGGATATGCAACTATGGAGGAAAATGTTACTGGGTAATCTTTCTTTCTCACTGTTATTATATATATAGTTATTGGTCTTATTTATTATGTTACATTATGCATTATGTACTAACTATCTAATTAATGCTTTCATTTTTATATAAAAAAAATTATATCCTTTTGTTCCAAGTGAAAAATAGCAGCTTGACATTTTAAGTTCCCTCTTATGAGGTGGGAATCTGATTCTTAATTATTACTTTTCTTTGGCACTTATATCATATGCCCTTTAATTCGTGTTAACTATTGAGTATAACACCTTCACATGAGTTTCTGTTCTTTTGCTTATGTTCTTATTGATTTGCTGCTATAGCACTTCAAATGTGGAAAGGCCTTTCAAGGACTGGAATGGGTCTTGCTTAAGGTTTGCATCTGTTGACTTCCTATTATCATGAATAAATTTTGTTACTATTGCTTTACATGATTTATTACTCACTTATGCAATGATTTCACATTTTTCATCATTAATGTACCTACTTTAAGACCTATACCAATTTTATTTGTATTTATAACATGTAAAATATTATGAAGAGAATACTTTCTAACTACATATTATAC